AGATGATTTGTCGATTGATATTTGAAATTTGCTAGTAAGTAATGAAATATGACACTCTCGTTCTTTCTGCAAAGAAATGTTGAGTTTCTTTATTCAATATAAATATTGTGACATGAGATTTAAGTTTTTGTTTTCACAAATGAACATAATCACGGCACGAATATTATCAGAATGATGTACTTTCGTCTTAAAAAGTCTTATTTGTCTGACCGCAAAAGTGATATATTTAAAATAATAAACTGCTTTTGCTCAGTGCAAACGGACATCGTGCTGAAGTATGTAATATGATACTTGTGTTGTTCTTTTTTTTTTACACTTATGACAATCAGGTGGTTGCTTAATTACCTCTCTAGGTGAACTATTATTGCCGACATGATAGTTTTTATCTGGCTAAATGCCGTGTTTGAATTGTGACATCCTGAGATTATTGCTTAACGTTGCTGTCATAGATTCAAGTCAAATTCTATGAACACTTAAAATATCCCGAATTAACGCTAAGAGCTCCAATTATTGAAATGCTTCTAGGAACAGGGGTGCACTATTATCTGCTAGTGCGGCAACTTGCTACGTGACGTTAATGTCTTAGTCACATTGAAAAGCGTGTGAGCCAAATATAGTAATTTCAAATGGTTCTCAGGCACATGCGTCAAAAGCAAAGCCCTCGAGACGGAAGAGAGTATCACGAGAACAGCATCAGGGCATCGGAACAAACAACGATCCCTATCGTGTATCCTGCACTGAAATGAATAATTTTTGGTTGGCAAAATGTTGAATGAGTCTCCCATTCTTTATAACAAAAGAATGCAGTTTCTAGATCTTTTGTATCTCGTTAATGACTAGTTTGACACATCGCACCGCACAAAGTTATCGGATACAGTAAAACTCTGACAGACCAAAACCCTTTTTATCACAAGGAAACATAGAACCACAATGTAACGTTTCGTCTTTTAATACAAACTGAACGTGCAAACACTTTACAGAGACACCTGGCACTTCTTCGTTGTGTCGGGGTGCCACCTTATTTCAGAATGGAGTTGCTAGAGAAAGGTAACATTATGATGTCTTCTCGATAGTTTAAAGTGACATTTTCGTAACTCGGTTAGGATCGATATAAGCTTCTGAGGAACTAATGGTAAACAAAGATCTGGTCAGACTTCCTTTACCAAGGAGTCATTTAGTTTTCGCGTAGGTTGGTTTGTAAAAGTCGGTTTGCGATAGTTCATACTGTAATAAAGAAAAAAAGTTTCCAAAAAATTTTCCTGTTTGATGTTATCTTACTGCCCTTAGTGTAGTGTTAATGTGAGATTATATTGTGACAAGGAAAAACAGACACCGTTTGGTATTTTCATTATCAATGCGATTTAGATTTCTTTCTGTGCGGCCGGCGAACGTTTGCTGGCGTCACCGTTAGCATTTTACTTCATTAGTATAAAAAGTTACTTTGAAAAAGAATCATGAAAAATAGGAAAGAGCTCATAGGACTCTGTAGTCTGTACAATTTTCAGCTTCTTGTGTGTGATACGTAAGGAAATATCAAACAAGAAAAAAGCAAAATTCGTGGTAGCAAAAGTATTTCATAAGCGATACATTCCTTGTAAAGTTTCAAGTCTTGAACATCGCGTGTCTCAAAAAATACGTGATTACTCGGACTGAAATTTTCAGTGAAACACAATTGTTCTGTGTCGTGGATAGTGGCATTCCTGTAACTTAATAAGGAAATGAAGCGCATGTTCTGACAAGGAAAAATTTGTAAACAAAGATTCGACCTATAAAGCGTTTTCTTTACTTTATACTTTACTATACTTTACTTACTTTAACTCGCACTCGGGCAAATCAGACCAAAGGTGATTACAGAAACGTATGAACAAGCTAAACAGCCAACCCATGAAACATGAACAAGGCCAGACCACAAAACCGACAGCTACGTTCACTACTCTTTGCGACAACGGCGTGTGGGTTCTTTAACGTCCCATGCTGACCATAACACCAGAGAAGATGCAGGAGACGGGGACCTACGGTTTATCGTCCTTATCCGAGAAGACAAGAACGAAAATCTCCAACAGATTTTTTAAGGTACAACAGCACTTACAATAATAACAATGGTTATTATACTAATAATACTTACTATACTTAACTTACTGCACTTAATTACATTACTTACAATGTTAACATTTACTAATTTACAATACTTAACACATTTAAACATAACTTATGATAAATTAGCTTAAGACAAAAAGGGAAAAGAAAAAAAAATCATCCAAAAAAAAAATACATTTGCTCTAAAAAGACAACGTTCTAATCACTTTTTTCAATCAATTTATTTTACTTATTTAATTTTTTTTTTGTAGGAAGTCGAGTTTTGATATTTTTTACGTGTGCAATATTTTCTATACGGTATTTAGAATGTAGCTTTTCGGTAAAAGCATTGAAATTAATATTTAGCTGAGTTAATTTCAGATGGTAAAGGTAATATTTTGCAAATAGCATGTCATAGTTTAGTTTCCGAAGACCTGGTGATGTTTGTAACGGTCGTAGACTTGTGTGAAAGTGAAACGTGCTTAGTATTCACAGCTTGTATTCTAGCTACCAGGTCATCGCGGTTATTGCTATTTAAAAAAGCATAAATTCGATTTAAAGGTTAACATTAGATCCCATCGACCGTAGCCCCTTCGGACACCTCACGAAATTTACACAACATAGTTTTCCTTAAAGTTGTTAAGCACTACAAATTAGGGTTAAGCAGTGCCTTTACTGATTAGGGTTAAGCACTGCCTTTATGATTAGGGTTAAGTACTGCCTCTAGTGATTAGGGTTAAGCATTGTTTCGAAACTGGTTAGGTTCTTTTTTGGGTTGGGGTTAATGCTATATGTCTTTAAATTATTTCCCATCCACTCGTCAAATCCTCTGTCAGTAGTCCAGTGGTTAGCGTGGTATATTGGATCTTATGTGTCGCGGGTTCGAATCCTGCTGCTGCTCATATTCAATTTTTTTTTTCTTTCAAAGAAAATGCGCTTTCGTGAACATTTCCTACTTGAAATATCACCTAAGTGTGATATAAAAGTAGAAAACAGTTCTACCTTGTGTAAATTTCATGAGGGGAGAAAGGGGCTACGGCTGATGGGATCTATAATGCTGACCCGGTTTAATTGCATAAGGCAAGGGCCGTTTCTAACAATTTGACCTCAGATAGATAGCAGCCAGCAGGTTTTAATAATTCGGCTCTTGTAAAATTCGCTATCAAGAATGGCCGGGGCGTTAGACGATAAGACAGATGCTATGATTTTCTCTCTTATGGATGATATGATGGCACTAAGTCTTCAAAGTAAGGATCTAAGCCAAGATAACTCATTCGCGACATCTTCGAACGTCGAAGAAAGGAAAATCGTTTTGCACTTTATGACGACGTCATTGCTTCGGAAGCTCTCGAAAATCGCCGAGCACATTGACCGACAGCATACAGAGCGGGGGCAGCTATAGTGTCAACTATTACTAGTACTAATAATAAGATCGCAAGCTCGAGATTTTTATCTCGTATCGGAATTCGAAAGCGAATAATCTAATTGTTGTTAGTTGTATAAATCTCGATTCATATTCCACTAAAATGAACATTTTACTTTAGTCATTGTCATTTTGAAGTATAAAACTGCGCCTGCTGATCACGTTTTCGTTGCTCATTGTCTATCACGGAATAGCCAGTTAGATTGCAGCATTTGTGATAGTAAGCTTAGCCATAGTATTTAGTATGGCTTATTAGCTTAGTAGATTTATACTAACTGGAAATAGCACTGCAGTGATATCTTCAATACTGGTTTTAAGTTATTCGCGTTTAAGATAATTATAGTCAGTGTTAGAGGCATTTAAAGACATTGTGGCTGATATTTGCGCTTTGGTACGCGTAGTCTAAGAAGTGGCCGGGCTGCTAATGCCACAAATGCTTGTGTTGCAGATCATCTTTTTAAGCGACATCGCCTCTGGTCTAGTGAATTTGCTAAGGATGGTTATGTCAAAGATTCTTTCCTCACTTCAATTTCTAAAGCCTTAGGTATATTAGTTTTCTCGTCGTAACGCTTTTTCATCTATTCTAATATCCTTTAGTTGGTCTTGTCCGAGGGACCGTTGTTTATGGGGTACAACTGGCCTAGGGTTTTCCTCCTAGGAGCAAGTGGACGTACGTGGAGGTTTTTCACCCAGTTCTTGTTCCATCTTCCCATTTCAGTTGGCTTGCGATTGAAAACTTTGGAGCTGAGGGTTGCATGGATTGTTTTGTTTACTTATATATTACTTTTGTATGATAAGTCATGATTGCTTTAGTCTTTTCGCAGAATAAACCGAAGGCTTAGCTTGAAGCGAGCCGCACCCCAGGGCTGTGTATGTTTTGTGTTGGGTCAAACAGATTTAGAAGAGAGCTGAGCGAATTAACTACAGACTAAATCAAATATATGATGCAGTCACCAATCGAATGAACAGCGTAAGTGACGAGAAACGTTCCACTTATCATCTTCATTTTATTAAATTCGTAGGTTTAACAGTTAACAGTTTATGGCTCTATTTCACAAAATACCTCGGTAAACTTAGTTTGTGGAGCAAAAAGTGAGAAGATTTCAGACAAAGGACCCGGATGTTTATTCTGGTTAATAAAATGTGATAGTGACACACACAAAAAAAACTTCCACAAACGTAAGTTTCGTCTTTTATATTAATTTCTTGTCACTGCACTAAGATGTAACCCATCGCCTTGATGTTCTTGTCACCATTATCACTCCAGAACGTAGCTTCGTTTCCACAAGTGTTAGTGTCATCAGAGTTTCCTCCAGTACTAAACCCGATTCTGGAGTCACATCGTCCACAGTTCCCCTCATTGTTTCCAATGATGCCAATTCTTGCTTTGGGATGACCAACAACTTCGCTCACGGTGTTAAACCCCTCCTTATTACAATTGACCTGCAACGAGGCCTCAAAACCAATCAGCGACTTCCACGTGTCACGACCCAATGAAGTGTCACGGTATTGAGCTGGCGTTCCTGCTGATCGTAATGAATTTGGCCTGGCTGTCAATCATCATACCGAGGCAAATCTTAGAGAAGGATGTGTTCCGGTAGGTGGGAAGTTTGGTCTCATTTGAGTCGAACCCAGTCTTCCCTCCATCAAGGTTAAAAGTTTCGTTGTTGCCCCAAAGGGTGGCATCGTAGTGAAACGTTTGCTGTGATGGCAACAGAATGGGGAATATTTAAAGCACTCATTTAACAGGAAACGTTTTTTAAAAGTTTTGATTCATAAACGCACAAGCCCAATAAAAATTTGGGCTGATGCACCGAATTATCTGTAATTGGACTTCATACTTTTAATCCAGGTAATCAATTTAGTTTTATACTTGGCTCGCCAGACTTCACAAACTTGTCATTTCCAAAGAAGTGTATTATTTTAAAAGCTCCTTAGCTCTTTTACTCGCCCCATGCAAGGGAATCCGGATTCCCAAATCTGGGAAATTTTCATTATTGAATCCGGAATCCTGGGCCTTGGAATCCAGAATCCCACTAACGTTTTGAACCCAGAATCCAAGTCCCACTAACAATGAGTGGAATCCAGTACCTGGAATCCGGAATCCACGGCGGAGAATCCAGATTCCAAGACTGTCTTGGATTCCCTTACATTTCAGGCGACTTATACGCTCCCAAAGTATCTTCATCAGTGAAAAATGCGGTAACAGACCAGTCTAGATACATATAATTGCACAATTTTTGGCATAATTCGTCATCACGAGCATAAATTTCACCTTCTGCCAGTTGCGCGATGGCATAATTTGCAATTTTGGCAAAAATTGTCATTTGCACATCATGCAACCAACAATGGTTTTTTTGGCCAGATCGAGATCAGTGTTAAAGGCAAACTAAGAGACAAAATTAATTTTTGAAGCATTTTACAAGGCTAAAATTTATATCTAAAAAGAAAAAATCCACACATTTTCGACACTTGGTCATCAGGCGGCTGACGATGACCTATTAATGTCGAAATTTTATGGATTTTTTCTTGGTAAACATTAATTTTTAGCCGTGCAAATACTTCATTGTTTAAACCTAAGTGAATTTTATGGATAAAATCAATTTTTGCCCGCTAATTGTGACATTCATGGGACGTTGGTCCTACAGGAAGTATCCTAGGACTCTTTGCACAGGATTCAACTGACACTCGCACATAATTAGATCGGTTATCCAAGATGGCCCAGAAAATGAATTATAAACTTTTAAGGTTTCTGGATGTAAATAGGGTGAATGTGTTTGCTAGTTGTTGCATAGTTATTAAGGTCTTTTAAAAAAATCAAAGTAAAAAAGTAGATGCATGATTTTTTGCATTTTTGGTAAAATGAGCATAATTTGTAAAAACTAACATAACTATTGGCATAACTTTAGAAATATACTAGCACTGCTGGTAGCAAATTACGCTACTTCGTGTGTGAGCACACTCTTTTAAAGCCTAGTGCGCGGTGCTGTGTACCACCCCGGCGGTGTTATAATAAACGCTTAAATGACTGGTCCAGGGGGAAATAGTTAATTCAATTTTGTTTCCCGAGAAACATTTGAGATTAGAGCGGTTAACATTCGCGGGTAACAGTGCACAGGTTGTTTACCATTTTCATGGGCAAACCAGTCGGTTCACGGTTTGGGTAAATGATTTGCAAAGTTCAGGACTGGTAAATCTTGTTCTGGAATTGGAATCGCGTTTACCACTGTACAAATCAGTTCCTTTTACCGGAAAACGGCCGCAAAGGCGTGAAACTGATACCAAAGATGGCTTTGAAGAAATAGAACACGAACTTCTGTTTGGAGTATTCCATCGGGAAAAACAAGACGACCCTTTCAGATGTTCCGTTGCTCCCGGAGATTTTCCGTTGGGAAGACCGAAAAAGTCGTGTTCCATTAACTTCCAACCGGATTTTCTGGAAAGTTTTTGTAAGTGGTAAGCAACCACTGTTAACGTCATAACGTCTGGCGTAATAGACTTTGCAATGTTACCCGCTCATAGATTTTGGCGCGAAACAGTTTCATTGTTAAATGTCATGTGAAGTGGGAAAAAATTTCCAGCCATATAACAATATATCTTGCTATAAAACAATAAAGTATTGAGTTGTTTGAGTTTTCATCATAAATGTAACGATTACTGACAAAAAGAAAAAATTCCTAGTTTCGTCAGTTTCTTGATTTAAAAGACGAAATGGGCTATGTTGGAATAGGTCTACCTTTGTTCCATTGATCTTCATAACCAGCGTCCAACCCCCAACTCCGCATGCGTCATTTTCAGTAGGGGCCACGGCCATGTTGCAAAAAATGTCAAATACATCATCTCCCAAAATCAGTGGATAGGCTTTGCTCTCGTTTGATCTGGAAGGGAAACAACACCTGAATGAGCGTCATATGATATAGGTAAGTGGAGGCCCAATTTTGACATCTTTCAATAGACCATTTTCACGATGACGACACTTGACAGCAACTACCAGAATCCATTTCATTTTTTGCTTTCTAATTTAAATTTGTCATTCCTGCTGTGGTTTAAAAACCGATAGCCCTAATTTGAAGAAAACAACAAAACTGAAGTATTCTGGTGATTGCACTAAAATCAAGAGAGGATATAGGGGACAGAGAAGGCATCCCCCATACACACCCTATTCCATAGGTAATTCGTCTCGAGTTATTTTTAGAATCGGGATAACGTTACCTCGCCCGCGCGCTTCGTGGATGTTTCGTGGAGGTTTCGCATGCCTAAACGCCGTGCAAAATATGTCGGGCGAAAGGCAATGAAAGCGCGTAAAGAGATCGAGAGAATTCTTGAATATTGAAGCGAAATGAGTCGGCGCTCACCTGGGGAAAGGGAATCGCTCCATCTCTTCTTCCGAAAGACTCTTGTTCCGTTTATTTGATTTCTTCGACGCCTTTTTGCTTGATTTGGTGACGGTCAAACTCGAAGGGGCAGGTTTAGGCTTCCCTGCACAATTCCTTCTCTTCGCTTCATCTGCTGAACTATCATCGGAACAGGAGCTTTCTACGTTTTCTTGTATTTCATTGGCACTCTCCGTTTCGGTTACAGCTTCCTCCTCGCTTGTACTGACTTTTTCATAGTCTTCGCTAGAACGCTCAGCTTCGCTCGAATCAACGTCGTAACAATGCTTCGAAACAAGCCAGGAATGGCGATTCTTTTTTAATTTCCGTTTTGCTGACACAGCTTTAGCAGAAATCTCTCTGTAGTCGTTATCGTCGACAAAACGAATAGCAACATCTCTCTCCGCGTCTTCCGCCATTTTGTTCTGCGTCAATTTGTGAAGGAGGCGTGGCTCTGAGCGTAGGTCATCCACGCGGAACACATTCGCACTATGTGATTGGCTGTTGTCTAATCCCCTTTGGGATCTGTGGTCTTAAAAATATCTCCAGACGAATTACCTATGGAATAGGGTGTGTATGGGGGATGCCTTCTCTGTCGTCTTTATCCTCTTTCGACTAAAATGACGTCATCAAACAGTTGTCCCATTTACCTCAGTTAATTTGAGTGAATTCTCCGAGTCGATCACTGAATCGATAGGTTATATTTATACCACATTTTCAAAACGAGACAATGCCGTGCGCGTGCACTCGACCCCCCGCTCATGCCCGCTATAAAAAAAAGTCGACAAATTTTGTGATTATAAAAGTTGTCTAAAAAGTAAACTAGCTTTGTAGTTTTACTCACATTTTGCTGTCGAAAAGGTCTTTACACGACGAGACTGTGTTACAAAAATAAAATAACGGAGATGTAAATTTAAAAAAACCACAAGCACATGGGAGTTAAGAAATCCAGGTGGTAAGAAGTATAAATGATGATGATGATGATTGCGTGATGATCGTACTGACAACATTACACAATGAGGTGCGCTGAAGCCACAGGCTTAGATGGACTAGGACTTAGACCCCACCTTTTTGACAGGCCTTGGTTCTTAAAAAAGCCCACAAACGTATTTTAGTTTTTAAATGTCTACATGAATTAGTTCCTCCATATTTATCGGATTACTTTATTAGAAATCGCACTATTCACACTTACAAGACAGGACAAAGCAACGAGATTCATCTACCGAACCCTAAGTTAATGCTAGGAAAAAACACTTTTAGATTTTCATGTACGGTTCCTTTTAATAATTTACCCACATAAAAAAAGAAGCTACGTCGCTTTCCACTTTTTCGAACTTTCTTAGAGTTCATTTTAGCCATTAGTTGTTTCTTATTAATATAATTCTTAGGTAACTTCGATAGCTCTCTTGTTTTCCTTGATCTTAAACAAATTATGATGATATGTAATTTTCCTTTTAGGCACTTTTTAAAATCCTTGTACACAATTTTAAAGTAATTTTTAATTTTTAAAGTCTTATCAAGTAGTCATAATTTACGCAGGGCCGAATGGCTGATAGGACTACCCTGCCTAAATAAAGTTGACTTGACTTGAATTCATTTGTGTGACTTATTTGTAAAAAACTTTGGTCTATTTGAACGCCCGAAAGCTTGATTCTCTCCATTCTATATTACTGATAACTAAGTTAGATTTCAAACGGCACGAAAGAGGAGTAAGAAAGACCTTCTGCGTGTGAAGGAATACAAAACAAGACACTTAATTTGTTCTGGAGAATTGCAATGAGTTTTAAAACTTTCGCTTCTGGAGACGAAAGAGAGGTTGTAGGTGAAAAGAATACGTAGAGGCCCAAAAAATAGGATGATAAACGTACATTGCATTTGTAGGATTCGTAGGATTTAGTTGTGCTGTTTGCTGTCAAAGTCTCCCGGTAAGCATCTTCAAAATCGATAAAAAGACTGCTGACTCACCTGGTTTGCAATTCTTTCCATCTCCATAATATCCTGGATGACAACTGCAGTTGTATCCTCCCTTGGAATTATTGCAGTAAGAATAGTTATCGCACTTATGTGTATTCTTTGCGCATTCGTCTATATCTGAAACATAATTGCTCAACTGTTTTTGATCAGTTCATCTGATAACTACTGTAAACATTAATCAGTGAAGACTTTATCACGAGAAATGCATGCTTACCAGAGACCTTATGATTTAGACAAACTCAGTACCCACCGCAGAAAACAAGGGATGTCACCACAAACCACTGGACTTGTATAGCTACCCGAATTAGATTGACCTCATTAGAGTTTTTAACACAATACAAGTAATTAAAGCGCGCTTTGATTTTTCAGTATAAGCTTTCTACCATCAATACAGTGGATGGTGGCCGATTTTCGCCTCGTTCGAAGGAAAAATAAAAAAAAATGATTTTTGGTCTGATTAAGTTGATTGGTTCGACGCATCCTAAGTTCGACGTCTTACCGTCAACAGACAATCTTAACGTACTTTAAGTCGACCCAAATTAGAGTTTTGTTCCTCTTATGAAAAATTCGACCTTTGGCTTAGGCCTATAGTACACAGAAGTCATTCAGAATAACAACAAAAGGCGTTTTACAATCTACCTAAATACTGAAAACGGCTGATTCAGCAAAAGAAAAACCTCAAAGTCAAGTTTTTGAAAGGCATAATCTGTCTACAAACAGGCAAGTGACCGCATACGTCAACTGAGCGATGACTGACTCAACCGTACGCAAATGAAAATGTTTTCTCTTTTAATTATGTTATAAAATAAATGGTAAACGTTGCAGTTGTGTATACGTAACGATCGCCGGAGTTTTAGATGCACGCGGGAGGTTTGCTATGCACTCAAGGAGTTAAAGCCAAGTTGCTCTCTACAACGCCTGGAGCAACTCTTACGCTTCTTTTGAGCTTATTAGCAGCCTCAGCCTCCCGCGTGCATCCATGACTCAGTGGTTACACCCTGGACGTTGATCATTTCTTAGATAGGAGCGACAAAACGAGCGAATGCAAAGAGAAAGATATAGCGCTTCAAATTAATAACTGGAAAAAACGGGGAGGTACTCCATCCAGTGTTTTCAATGTAGCCGGTGGGTAGACTCCTTGGGAGCGTAAAGATAGGAGGAACGCGTCCCCTACCCTTTAATTCCGCTTTCCCCCTCCCTGTCGTCTTCCACTTTTTCGCCTTCTTTTCGCAGTCTCCCCACACACAAATGAGCCTATTCACACTGGCTACTTCCAGACTCTCTAATTGAATTAAGTAAATACACTGATCAGTAGCCAACTCGTCTGATTAGACGCACTTGCCGAGCAAACCTTAAGTTTTCATGCGGGTCATGAAAGCAACATAATGCAGCCACTTGAAAACCAACAGACCCGGATTCATATCCCAGGGCGACGATGCCAGGTTATTTGCCTTGGGAAATTTTGTCAAAAACTATTAACCACGACTTGTCCACACTTTGGAAAATGTATTTATGAGTTCTAGTTTTATTCGAAGACCATTTTGTGCGTCAGCAAGTGATTTTATATTATGCCCTCAAATTCTGGCCTGATTTGTACGAACAGTTAGGAAATTTCTGTTGAAACTGCATCTTATTAGCTTTAACTTACCAATCTCACAGTACTTTCCTTCAAATCCAGAAGTGCATATACAGCGGTATCCACTGTCTGTAAAACCTGTTTGACAGGTTGCATTGTTTTTGCACTGTTCATTTTCACAAGCGTTCTGGAAAGAAAACAGACATTCTTAATGCCTCCACAACGACTGATTAATTTGAAAGTAATCTTAGCATGCATAAACATATAACATGAATTAAGGTAAACTTAATAGCAAAAACTTACATTAGCTCCAAGGTATACGTAATCTGGATTTGTTTCCAACATTTCTTCACTGTCTTTTATAGTGGAATTATTCAGCTCACATTTCCTTGTGACTTTGTTGAAGTTGTAACTGACACAATTTGGTTCCATGTAGCACAAAGCCCGGCAGGATCTTTCACAGGTGACGTCAATAGTACGAATCACGTGATTTTTAAGGCGCTTTCCATCAACAGTGTGGTCAAACTCTAGCTGGCGACGGGTGCCTAAGAGAAACAGAAAAGAATGAGCGCTGAAAAATAGCTGTACTTTCAATAATAGACCTCTCGTATATAACAAGAGATTTGTTATATTTAATCCACTACCGGATTAAGCTTTCAACGAATTGCAAAACAAAACTTCTTAATAAATCCCTTGAGGGAAGTGGCAACGGAACAACATGATAAAAAAACAGGAAATTTACCTTTAAAAGGTATACATATTATCATTAATTTTTCCCGCAACCGCATCCCAACTTCCAGAGTAACATGTCACTGCTGGTCTAGTTTTGCTCAGTTTTTAGACTCGTTTAAATCATATTAGGTCACTCCAAGTATTAAATGGTTCTTAGCTGAAGCTCCTTTTAAGTTCGTTTTCTTGTTAATGCATATTTTATAAAGTATTTTTCATTTTAAAAACAAAAGAAAATTGTTTTGCCCAAAACAAGTGCCGTCAAACTCATGGGGGCCTCCAATCACAGGCGTCCCAAGCTCACGTTACGATCCGAGTGTGTTATCAAACATCAAAGTTAAGTCTCCTTTATTTATTTTTTAGAAAAAAAAAGGAAAAATAAAATGATATTTAGCGTTCGCAGACCTCAGTATTTTAATTACTGAGCGATGCATTCTCATTAGTAGATCAGGTTCGTCAAAAGTAACTTTGCGTGTTCAGTAACCCGGATTTCCTCAAACGTTCAAGTGCAGTCAGAATAACATATTTTAAAATAGTTTAATATAGGATCCTCGACATTCTTAAGTACCACTAAACCATTTTATATCAATGTTCTCTCGTGTCAAAGTATTAAATAATTTAAATATGACTGCATCTCGGCAAACAGTCCTGTAACCTTTACCTTAATCGCTAATCTATTTACAAGCGTAAGCCTACGAACAAATTTCATAACCTGCATGGTGAACTTCATAGCATGTTTCATAGAGGGTAAGTATCTTTGCACATTGGCTTTTATATCTGGTTTTGAGACCACTGTAATTTTAACGTTAAACTGTTAGTCAAAGGTTAATCCGAGGAAATCTCAGATACGTCTGCACTGGCAAAACTAACCTCCACTTGGACTGCAGAATTGCCCCTGAACTGGAAAGAACAACTTGATTGTAAACCATAAAATACAAGCAAAGAACATAATCAAAAAATTGGAAAAACTCTTTCGTATAAGCTTGAAAGGACTGCACACCGCGACGTTGCTCTTGTTACACCGGAACAAACTGCTCAGTGGGTCTTCAAAAAAGTTATTTACCAATGGCCATTGTCTCTCATTCGTTGAACAATAAGCTTACACCCACAGCTTATTACCAGTTTATATGAGGTATCCATATTTATTTACACACGTTTAAACGCATACATTTATTTTTTATATTTTGTCAAGTTACGGGATGTATATTTTCATTTCTATTGCGTGAAACGTTTTCAAGGATTTCTTTCTTGTCACGGGTATATAACAGTTTTGTATTGCGCCAACACGTTTAAGGTGCCCATTGAATAAACCCATCAACTACAACAAAGAAAATAGCCGTATTATTTTTCAAGTGCCATTATAAGGAAACCTAAAAATACTCGGTGTAAAAGAAGGCATTAACATTGACAAGACCATAAGAATCTAAACCGTTTTTGAAAAAATTGTAAATATTTTGATATACATAATTTTTTTTTTCTGGGTCTCAATAGGGTACATGTCCCTAGGGATATGTCTTTCCTACGTGGTGGCATTTACGGTTATCGGCTAAAATTCTGACTCTTTTACGGCTATCGGTTAATTTTTTTCAGTGACGGTTAACTATAAAGTTACAAATTAATTTCTTTGTTTCAAAGAGTTAAATATTAATAAACCTGTATTTTTTTTTTTTTTTTTTTTTTTTTTTTTTTTTT